GGCTTTCGCGAAGACTGAGCTGAAATCGATGGCATTCGGTTGGACGAAGAAGCCCGACCCGAAGGTACTCAAATGGCTCGTTGTAAAAACAATGCCAGTCGGAGTTATTGCCTTCACCTTAGAAAGACGGAAATCGGTTAAATAAAGGATATACATCATGGAATGAGTTGAGATTTTGACATACTTTTATTCCGCGGTTGTTCCAACCGGTTCCGTTGAAGTAATTGACACCTCCGTCGGTGACCCGAACACAGTAGTTCTTCGAAAAATTTGCTCTGGGAAACAATTGCAGCTATTAACTTCTTGCGTTAATTAGTGTGTAAAATCAGTGGTAATTAATCACATGCTCCTAAACTCAGAAATAACATGCATATTTCGGAGATTTATGGTCATTCAAGTATGAAATCAGTCTCATATAAATAATTAGATGGAAAAGCGTGAATAAATGAGAGAATACTCGCGTAGATTTCGAATAACAAGTGTTGGGTTCTTTCGGGAAAGTAAAAATTAAGTAATTGGCATTTCAGAGCAAAGCTCGGTGAGATTCAGTGTTACATTTATACAGTAGATAAAAGGTAAAAATATGTTTCCTCGCGGGTAACACGAAGTTCCCCATCATCACACACAGTTTGATAGAGAATTATTATTTTCCAGTGCTTGATTTCACTGATTTCCTATCGCTTTCGAGGCATCAGGCACGACGAGCCTCATGAGAGAAAAAAATATCCCTTCATAGTTAGGCGACAAACACTTGCGCTAGCTATTCCAATTAAGCCAGGGTTGTTTTTAATTTACTCATACCATCTTGGTCTGGCATACATTTTACTACACAGTATATGTTCTTTAAAACTTTCCGAAAGGTTTTTATTTTTGATAGTGCAATCACGCTGAACTTTTTGAAACATACTTGAAGAATGACGGCAAGTTATCCCAATTCGATTGCTTGATCACTTCTTCGAGAACTAGTCCATCTTTTAGCTCAAACAATCCGACGTGAATAGGCCCAGTTCCGTTCGGCCACGTCAACACATTCACGTAGAACTCTATCGAATGAAGCGTTCATCATCATTCAGCGATTCTATGCTTAAAACTTATGGATAACAGACCATCCATGCGTTGCAAGTCTGCAATACGGGCCACGTTTCCGGGTTCGAAGTAACCCTTGATCAAGCTGGGTTTCATCGTTCTGCCAATGATATAGTGCAGTCCGGGTGGGGGCTCAGAGAAATCCTCCATGCGAATTTCCACAAAGGAAAAATCTGAACTCGGCGAAGGTAAGATCGTGGAGTACAGAACCCTCTCGGTTTTATTGGACACTCCGGCTGTGGTAGCGTTGACGCACCGTAGAGCTTCTACTTAATCAAAGCAAGGAAAGCAACTCATTGCGTTTTTG